TCGAATTAGCGCTGTAGTGTAGACATACCCATACAGTGCAACTCTTCCTCCTTTTCTCCCCTGCCTGTTCTTCTTGTAGCATCTTCTGTGTGTCTTCTGTCCTGAGTGTGATTGTTTACCCTGCTCATGAGCTCCATTTCATGAAACCCCATCGGGCAAAATCTAACTTGTCAAAAGTTCCCTTTAGCGAGCCACAGATCAGCTGTGTTGTTCTGATAAATGTTGTTTGAGATGGGAAACATCTATTAAGGCTGCTGAGCTTTACATAAAACATGTTGGTTTATGTCACCATTGTGTGGATGTTTCAGAGCTCCCCCTTCGGATACCTTGCTGCAGGAAACACAAGAGTGATTATTCAAATAAATGAGGATTATACAGTCCCATAGAATCCTGCCCTGTGGACTCAGCTAGCCTGGACATGCAGGGGCAGACTTTGACTTCCGGTCCTTAGGGATACAAAAAGGCCTTGGCTTCTAGCCTATAGTTTTGAGGACACACTTATGTTTAAATGGGGAAACATTTGAATAGGTTGTCCAGTTCCTCAGTAAAACTATGCTGTCTGGATAGATAAAGGGCTTCAAGAGAAATGTTCTCCTCAGCCTGCGCTAAGTCCTGTCACTGTGACTCACTCAAGGCACAGCGCATCTGCTCCAAGAAATGGAACAGATTCTTAATTAACTACTACTCTTCCCTGTGTTGTTCCCTAAGCACAGAGAATCCGCGCTGAAGTAGTCCTGTGCACATGTGGAGTCCGGCTGTGTAGCGCGGCTGTGTTTGTGTGGCAGATGACAGAAGCATTTGGTAATACAATAAGAAGAGTGTTGAAATGTAGTTTATCCTGGAAAGCACGGCGAGATGATGGTGGCTGACAAGGCGGAAAGAGTATTTATCCACATTAGTATATTTTGATTTTGTGTCATGCTGGCTTTGGACTGGGGAAATCCCCAGGAGTGATACATGTTGTGAAGTAAGCAGAGGCACCATGAGCACTGAAGGGTGGGCCTGTTGAACAGTACTTTGCCACCGTTTTTCCCACTCCCACCTTGCAGTCTAATATAATAGATTCCTGTCTGCAATGATAACGCTGCCATATGCAGGGCCAAGCTGTAGATTTTGCTGAGAGTTAACTAGGAGGCTGTGTCTAGACTGGCAAGTTTTTCCACAAAATCAGCTGCTTTTGCGGAAAAACTTGCCAGCTGTCTACACTGGCCGCTTGAATTTCTGCAAGAACACTGACTTCCTACTGTCTGAAATCAGTGCTTCTTGCGGAAATACTGTGCGGCTCCCATTTGGGCAAAAGTCCCTTTTGCGCAAAGCTTTGTTTTGCGCAAAAAAGCCCCGAACGTGAAAATGGCGATCGGGGCTTTTTTGCAGAAAAGCGCATCTAGATTGGCACGGATTTTCCGCAAATGCTTTTAACGGAAAACTTTTCCGTTAAAAGCATTTGCGGAAAATCATGCCAGTCTAGACGTAGCCGGAGAGTATCATGGTACAAGTCAAACTCAGCAGACACCATGTGTACAAACCGTGTGGGTGTGGGTGTGGGTTGGGGGTAGGGAGATTATTAGATCCCATATGGTGCTCCTCTGAAGTAGGGAGAGCCCAGCTAATTACTCTTTTCGGCACTTAGCTATTAGCTTATTTTTTCAAGGTTATTAGCCAAAAGAAACAAATGGGAAACTAATAGTAAGAAAAAAGGAAAGCAGAGATTCCCTCTTGCATCTGTAGTTCCCCCAAACGAGAGATGCCCTCATGCTAGCTGTGAAAGGAGTGCTGCAGAAGCAGGGTCAAGTGAAGAATCCAAAATGTAATTAACAACTTACTTACTCTTCTGCTTATGAAACCCTGGGACAAATTCTGCTCTAAATATGATCTAAATCCAGAGTAACATCATCAGCTTTGCTAGCCCTCCGAATTTGATCCATCCACCTTTCCTCAGATACAAATACCTCTATCGTGTGATGCCATGATGGCTTCGTTAATTGCATTTAAGTCCATCACCACGCTAACACGGCAGTGAAAGAATGACTATGAAATAGTGTTTTGCACTCATGACACCTGTTCAGTGAGAAGTCTTCCTTCTCGGGTAAATTTCCTGTAAGGAAATCAACAGTGAAGAATAGATGGTGCCATAACCCAAGTTCCTTTACTAACTTCTTTCTCAACAAAAGTAAATTCATGGCTAAGCTGGAGTTCCTATTGAATACATAACAGTGGTCCTATTTGTTAATAATAAATGCACTCCTAGTAATACTGCTCGGTAAAGGGAGTAATATTGCATTCTAACTTTAGTTGCTTTCTATATGTAATCTTGGAGCGTGGAGGTTTCATCTCCTTACAGAATGAGAGTTTTGTTTTGTTTTGTTTGTTTTTAAATAAGAATTGTCATTTGGTGGAATTTCCATGCAGGGCAGGAAATTCCCTGCAGGATAGGTTGACTTAACTCTCCAGCACTGTACCGGGTAGTCTAGCATTTTGTATGTATGAATATGATTTCCATAACCCTCTTATCAGAAAGGCCATAGATACCATGGTTGGAACATGAAGCATCTCTAAGCACTAAGCATGCATAACAGCAAAGCTCTGTTTGCATTCTCTGTGCACTGAGCAAAGATTTTTCATCATTTCAGTGGTTTATTCACAAGCTCCAGTGGTTCCAAATGATCATAGAGCTTTATGCTGTATTCATTAGTACAAAGTTTTGTTGGTTTTGGAAAGCTACTGTAATTAGGAACTTCGGGGCATACAGCAGGTGCATTGATGAGCTTTTCTGCTTGAGCGTCTCAGTGGGATTAACAAACTGCCTGCCTAATGTGGCAGCCTACCAGTGCTCATGGATTGTATGAGTATAGTGGACGTGCTGGGTAGAGATTTTCAGTCTGCTTTTTATTGTTGAGTTTGTCAAGTAGAATTACATTGAAAGATCGCTGTAGTTTTTCACACTCTGCCCCCATCACCACCACAATATTGTTTTTGATATTTCAGTGAAGTTTCATCTTCCTAGCTTGTTAGAGAAGGCAAATAGTATGGAACAAATTCCAGACATAATGGAGTCAGGGAAACAACACAGGAAATTGAACTGTGGCTACAGTTATAGATGTGGGCCCAGCCTGAAAGGCCAGACCGGATCCAACGTTCAGATGTTTGTATGCATGGCTTTGGCTCAGTCTATTAGACAGATAAAAGTCAGACAGAAAGTATAGATCCGGATCTGAATGTCTTCTCCTCACCTCAGCTTTCCTGAATGCTCAGATATGACATTTCTGTTTTCATCCACCTCTAACTACTGCTTACTTGACTTTCCTCAGAACTGTGGCAGTCCTTTAACATAACCAGAAGCTCACCTAAGAGGGATTTGATGTTCCTGTGGCTGCTAGAAGCATCATTGTTGGGAAACTGCCTAGCAAATAACATGGTGTCAGTGCTTTGAGTTTCAGCGATGGATCAGATTGCCAGAGATAGCACACTTCCTTTGTGCATAGAGAACTAGAAGACTTACCCCACATTGCCAGGAATCAGGGCTGTCCTGGGGTAGTGGGAATCATGCTGCTCACCCACCAGCTTCTCCCCAGGGCCGGCCCTGTTGGGGGGAAGGATGCAGGCCTCCCTCAGGCTTCTCCCTGGGACCAGCCCAGGGTAATGGGAGGGCCATACAGGCCACCTGCTGGTTATCTCCCCGGGTAGTGGGGGTCATGCAGTACAATTGGCAGCTGCTCCTGGGGGCAGCGAGGTCTGTGTTGCTGGCCAGTGGCTGTTCTCCAGGGCTGAGGAGCTTGCGGCCCCTCTGTGCTCATTTGTGAGTATAACCATTCCCACTATTATGCCCCTCCCTTTCCTTTTGATGAGAAACAATCACATTCCAGGCATATCCCATTGCCCTGGCACAACCGAACCCTGACCTTGCTTGAAGTTATGATAAGAGGAAGCTGTCATACCAGATTTGGTGGTTGTCACTCTTACTGTTTAGGAGGAGTTCTTGAACAAATTGACTCACAGACTGACAGACAGACACACAGACAAGTGCGCAAACTCTTTAAAATACATAATAGGTATCTACAGTGTTGTCTGAGGTGATTGCAGCTCAAGTAGGCACACCCATACTAGCTTCATCCACACTAGCACAGCTACACATAGCATGGTAGGCATGGCAGTAGAGGCTGCAGCGTTGGGCTAGCAACATGAGTACGACCCACCGCTTTCTTGAATGACTGTTACACGCTGAATGTACTCTAGCCTCTGCCACAGGGGTGAGCGAGAGAGCCTCCACAGGCCAGATGCAGCCCACCAAGCCAGCTGATCCAGCCCACGGCTGTCCTGCTGCTCTCCCACCCCCAGACCTGGGGATGGGGGAGCACGTGAGTGCGCAGCACCAGAGGGAACCACCAGCTGTTTTTAAACAGCGGGCAGTTCTCTCTAGCTGTCATGTGCCACTGGTGGGGCGGGGAGCAGAGACTTCACACGTTCCCCCATTCCCAGCCTGTGATTGGCCTGGAGGCAGGAGGAGCAGGAGAAGTCTATTCCTGCCAGGGTGCCTAGAGGGAACCTCCAGCTCATGATTCTCTCTAGGCACTCGGGGCGGGGGCAAAGACTTCACACACTGCCCCACTCCAGGCCAATCAGGATTTGTGGATGGGGGAGCACGAGAAATCTCCTGTCCCCACCCCTTCTAGGGTGGCCCAGGGCTACTTCAGAAATTTGTGCAGTGGGCCCCCCCTTTAAAAATGATTGCCCAGCCCTACTCTATCACTATTTATAGCCACATTAGAATGGATATATCCACCCGTGCTGCTCAGAATGCGACCCTATTTTCAGGCATGTAATTTGAAATGGCCTCCTCCAAATCTCTGTGAACACTTGGGAGTCACAATGCCATGTGGTTTATTAGATTTGGGGGGCAGGGGTCGCAATACAATAGGATGTTTGAATCTCAGATCCTGACAATGCTGCCTGATCGCTAAAGGGTTTTGATAATTACAGGTGCTTCTTTTTTCCCCTTAAAGCGGACTCTTCTGTGAAAATCCTCCGCCAATGGTTCTGCTACAGACCAGCCCTTGTGACCACTATGAATGCCAGAATGGGGCTCAGTGCATTGTAGTGCACCACGAACCAGTCTGCCGCTGCCTAGCTGGCTTCGCTGGCCAAAAGTGCGAGAAACTCATCACCGTTAACTTTGTTGGGAAGGATTCTTATGTTGAGCTGCCGTCGGCCAAAATCCGGTCTCAAGCAAACATCTCCCTGCAGGTATGTCACACAGGCGAGGTAACGGCTCATCTGTCAGCCCAGTGTCCTTCCAAGCAATAACCTGTAAGTGTTTTTCATCCCGGAGGAAGTGCCTTTATTGACCCACAGAATGTCAGATAGTTGGGGCCGTGTCTAGCAGGTGACGGTAGCGGCTCTGTTACTGTGCTGTCACATCATGGAGCCACTGAGAGCATCCTGGCCCTGGTTTGACCCCCAATTTCTCCACCTTGTTACATCCTGAGACTCGCATAACAAGGTGATATTAGCAGCTTAAACAGAGACGGTGTCTGCAAATTTCCTCGTCTGGCTGCTGATATAAGGGTTAGCCTTTCATCCTTCATCAGTCCATGCTTAACAGTGGGGCGTAGCATTGTAAAAAGAAGTTGCTTGAAATGACTTTTTCCAGAAATCAGATTAGT